ATAAACTAATAATTTGATAAATATAACTTATTATATATTAATATACTTTTACAAAAATATAAATATACATATCTTATCTACTATATTTATATTTTTGTAAAAGTATATTAATATATACTAAGTTATATTTATCAAATTATTAGTTTATCTATAAATATACTAAAAATATTATTGATATTAATTTATTAGCAATATTAAAATATTAATAATATATAAATTTTATTTATTTAGTAATAATAAATATATATTATTTGCTACATTAACAAAAATTATAATATGTGTTAACTTAAATAAGCAAATAATTGTATAATTTTAAATATTATATATATATATATATTAAAATTTTAAAATTATTAAATTTTTAATAGGAGAGATTAAAATCGTACAATTATGATATTTGAGGGACTAAAATTGTTCAATTAAAAATTGAAGGACTAAAATTGCACAACTTCAATCCTTTAAGGACTAAAATTATCTAATTAAAACCTTAGGGATCAAAATTGTACAATTGTAATACCTGAGGGGTCAAAACTGCAATTAAGCCTTATTTGTATCTTTTGGATATTTATCCATGCATATATCTATTGTACCGAAAATATTTGAAATAAGAAAACTTTATTTTGTTTTATTCTCTATATGGTATCAAATTAGCCTATTCGTTGTTGTTTCTCGATCCACCCATAACTTCCTTAACTACTATTGTGCTTGTAGAACTCACCACTGCATACATCTCCTATTAAACTCAATTTTAACAATCATCACAATTGACATACTCAAATAACTCATTTTTTACTAGCCTATGATCTTTACAAGTACATCATTGGTGACAAACCTTATCCCTCCAACTATTGGTGAAGGAAATGCGATCATTGTCAACCCTGCCTACACCATTGGATACGTGAAGATCACTATGTGTTTCTCACTCCTGTGGCCTTGATGCACAACTTGTCATGACCTCGATCACTTCTTCTGTTGTTGCATGGACGAGGTTAACCAAACACTATATGAACAAGTCTCGCACTCATGTAATGTCTCTAAAAGAACGTTTTTCATCTATTACCAAAGGCACCTCCCGTGTCAACGATTATTTGCATTCAATACCACTAATAGAAAATGAACTTGCTCTTATCGACCATCTTGTCGATGACTTGATCATGTCATTGCCACTCTCAATGGTCTTGGACCATCTTTTTGTGAATTCATAGCCTCAATTTGCACTAGAGACACTCCTTTATTGTTTGATGAACTTTTTGACAAATTAGTAGATTTTGAAATTCTCACCCAACGAGATGAACGTCAACTACAATCTTTTCCTGCCACTTCCAATTGTCGCAACCCAAAATTTTTTGATCTTGGAACCTATGGTTTATACATTCTTTTAAAGATCTCATCAATTAAGGAATGCCAGGACACCAGACTAATCCTTAATTAATGGTTTTGAAAAATGAGTTCACGGAGTCGCCACCAATGTTTTACTCAAAATATTGGAAAAAGAAAAGGTTTTTAAAAATCCAATAATGGCCTTGATAACCAGAATTGGGTTCGGGGGTCGATTACGTATAGGGAAGGTATTAAGCACCTCTACAACGCCCTCAATTGGTACCCTATGATGAAGTTAGCTTTATAAACAATAATAATATAAATATTAAATCCCCTTTTTATTAATAACTGTTTACATGCTTAAAATTTAAATTATACAATTGACCCTAAAATGTCTACATGATTGCTTTTATTATAAACAATATTTATCAAAGATAAGAAATAAAAGAGAGAGAAGAAAATTAACTGAAATACCTCTTGAATGAGCTCTATTAATCTTCAAATATGGAGATTTAGGTGCTTTGTGCCAACCTTTCACACTAAAATAAGCCTCACACAACTCAAGAAATACAATAAGAGAGAGAGAGAAAATTTTCAAGCTCTAAGGAGTGCTGGACGAAATTTTTGGGGGTCCAGAGAACTGTGCCCAAGCTATCTATTTATAGGCATCAGAAGGGTCCAGAACGGCCCGTTCCAAAATCGGAACGGCCCATTCTGGATCTGGCCATTATGTGTTAAATTCATAACTGGAATGACCCCTTCTGAAACTGGAACGGCCCGTTCCAGAGATAAGATTAACACACAATTTGGTAGACTGGAACTGGCGTTCCAAACAAGAGATTTTAGGCCATCTTGATATCTTGGAACGGCCCATTCCAGTTTAGGAACGACCCGTTCTGGTTAAGGTTTTTAACCCTTTTTTAGGAGCTTGGAACGACCCGTTCCAATTTTGGAACGGCCCGTTTTGGCTTAGGAACGGCCCGTTCCAGCCTATTATTTTGAGGCCTTTTAGGAGTCTCGAAACGGCCTGTTCCAATTCAAGAACGGCCCATTCCGGACTTGGGAACAACACGTTCTGATTTTGGAACGGCCCGTTCCGAGCCACTTAAAACAGTTGATTTGGGCTTTCGAGCCCTCTGATGTCCTATCTTGTTGTTAGTATGCCCCCGAACGAAATTGGGTATCTACACCAATTACACAAATATCTATCAAACAATATTTTTCATCAAATTGTAGTAGCTCCTCTTCTAGAGATAATAGTCAAGGCTCTAAATTCCTAACTCCTATCTATCAACATTGTGATCATAAAGGCCATATACTACTAGAAAAATGAAAATTTGTGCGAAAATTTGTGACGGATAAAATGTCGTCACTAATAGTGACGACTTTTGTGACGAAAATTTTATTTTTGTGACGGACTACTTATTTTTAGAGTTTGTGACGGATTTTGTGATGGAAAAATTTTCGTCTCTAACAATTCCGTCACAAACAGGGTCACTAATAAAAAAAATTGCGACAGATTTAGTGACGGATTTTGATTCCTCTCTAAATATTTCGTCACAAAAATTCGTAACAAAATTTAATGAATAATTTTGTGACGGATTCTGTGACGGAAAATTTTTAAAAATTGTATTCTGTCACAAATTTCGTCACAATCTGTGAGGGATTATGTATCCCTCTCAAAATAGAAAATTTTACGTTAAATACCTCTTTTCGTCCCTTATAATATTTTTTTGTTTCAATTTAGTCCCACTTTAATTTTTTGTTTCAATTTGGTCCCCAATAATTAAAATCATTGCAATTTGGGACTTCCGTCCAAATGATTTAAACGGAGTTAACTGTTGACCACGTGGATGCCACGTGGATGTGTACGTGGATGCCAAATTGCATGAATACACCTGGAACCAGAACGGCCCGTTCTGGATGCACTCTTGGTGTGTTAATTTTGCAACCGGAAAGGGCCGTTCCAAATGCAAATTTAACACAACATGAGTGCAGAAGAACGGGTCGTTCTGAAACCATAACGGGTCGTTCTGCTTCTAGAACGGGCCGTTCTGAATTCAGAACGGCCCATTCCCGAATGCCAAATTCATGTTTTTAATTGTATTTTTTTATTATATCTATATTAATAAAAATATAATAAATAAAAAATATAATAAATTAATATTCATTTATGAATAAAACTAAAAAAAATCAAATATGATAAGATCTTCTAAAATCCTTCTTTGATTTGAACTTATCCAGTTCAAAATCTTGACTAAAATGTCGCAATATGATTCAAAAATTGAAAATAAAAATTCTTAATATATCATAAATTCAAAGACAGAAACATGGTTCATAAACTGAAAACAAAAATTCAGAACATAATATATACTAAAATAGTTCAAAGAAATTATTGAGAAAGAAGATTATCTGGGTAATGCTGAAGGAAAACCCTAAATCACAAAAATTCAGGTTGTACCTCCTCAAGAACAGGTTGTTATTGTTGGGGTACATCGCCAATGACTTCAAGGGGAAACATCATTTCGTTTCATCCTTGACTGTATAGTGTCAATTTAGTAGTAAGTGGTTCACTCCAATTTGAATAACAATGAAATAAAACTTGTTACCATTGTCCTTAGTGATACACTGCATCGACCTTAATGATACACTGTATAGCCCAAATGTTTTGCAATTGAAATTATCAATCCCCATTAACAATATTACCAAATCTAGTGTTTGAAATTCTTTGTACTTTAGCAAATATTCGCCCGTGATAATTTTTATTTTCGATAACTTGGATTTTATTGAATTTTTTTTATTGGATTAGCAAAAATAAAATAAAAAATATATATATATATATAAACTAAAGATTAAATTCTGGAACCAGAATGGCCCGTTCTGGTTACATTGTTGGTGTGTTAATTTTGCACCTAGAACGGCCCGTTCCAGGTACAAAATTAACACACCAACAGTGTAACCAGAACGGGCCGCTATGGTTTCAGAACGGGCCGTTCTGGTTTCAGGTGTATTCCAGTATTTTGGGATCCACTTACATGGCATTTATGTGGCATCCACCTGGCATCCACGTAGCCATCAGTTAACTCCGTTTAAATCATTTAGACGGAAGTCCCAAATTGCAATGATTTAATTTATTGGGGACCAAATTGAGACCAAAAATTAAAGTGGGCCTAAATTGAAACAAAAAAATATTGTAAGGAACCAAAAGAGGTATTTAACCAAAATTTTTTTCTTTCTAAACTCTATCATCTTGTACAATTGAGCCACAGACTTATACTAATTTATTAAAATAGGTAGGAGATCTTGGTTATGCTCCTGAGCTTGGAAATTATGCAGAGTATAGTGGTGCACCCAAGGAAGATGAAGTCTTGCAGCATGCCAGAGTTGTGATTGATGTAATCAGTTCTTATCTCAAACATTATTGTTGGCACGTTTATTATGGATAAAATATTATTGCTTTAAGTGATCAGCCATTCCTTGTTTCGGCTGTGTGAAAATAGCTTATCAAATGCATGCTACTTTGAAACATGATATAGTGATACTTATCTCTATGATAATCTCCTTGCAGTGTGCAACTTCAGACCCTGATGGCCAAAAGCGAGCCCTTGTGATAGGGGGAGGAATAGCTAACTTTACCGATGTTGCTGCTACATTCAGCGGCATAATTCGCGCTCTGAAGGAGAAGGTGAGCCTATCCTCATGAACCTTTTCTCTATAATATCATACTAATTTTCTCATAGTAGAGTTAATTGATTGTTGATCTTGTTACAAACCAGGAACAAAAGCTAAAAGAAGCAAAGATGCACATTTATGTGAGGAGAGGAGGTCCCAACTACCAAAAGGGTCTAGCTAAAATGAGGGCACTTGGAGAGGAAATTGGCATCCCCATTGAGGTTATATAACTAATTGATGTCTTTGTTGATTGTATTAAGAAATCATCTGAACTGCTTATAATCTTTTTAAGGGACTTTCTCTGATCTATCTTTTGGTCTCTTTACAGGTTTATGGACCTGAAGCAACAATGACTGGTATATGCAAACAGGCAATCCAGTGTATCACTATTGCTGCTTAGTTATCCATTATTAGGTCAATGCCTTCTTCTACAAGTATTTTCATGGCTAGTTTGAAGTGATTGTTGATTCTTAATTCCCTTTACCACTCTCGGAATTGATGAGCATAGGTTGTTATAAATTAGTCATTTAGTCATCCAATAAAGTGGTCAAGAGTGTTTTGTATCGTCTAGAATTCTGGTAGTACAGTGTTGAGACAATAAAGTGCCAAATGTAATTGTTATATGTTAAGCTGCAATTTCATTGTTCCGGATTTACTTTCATTTAGTAAATTGGTTTTCTTTCCACTCCATTGGAACTTAAATTTCCGTTGAAAAGGTTTTCTCAATAAGCTTGTTTATATATGCAATTATGCAAATTCAATTGGAAAAAATAGATTCATTTCCAAGTGACACATTTCATCACGCGCCCATAAATGGAGTATAAAATTCATTGTAAATAAAGCAGGAAAGAATTTAGCTATATCATATCAGCACATAACAATATTGTAGGGAGAGTTGGACATTAGAGAAAAATTTAGCAACAAAGAGAGCAATCAACAATACTAGACAAAACAACACAATCCACCTATAAAAACAGAAGCAAGAACATCAATGAACCAAAATGCAGGTCTATCCCCCTCCCTCCCTCCCCAAATAAAAAAAGAAAGGTGGAGATAAAAATTTGAACGAAAGGATTTGGCATGTTAGTTGCCATTTATCTTTTTTTTTCTTTTCTTTGTTTTCACTTAGTTAAAGGCATGATTGATGGACAATAGGTGAATATTTATGTACTATCCTTTATTAATTATAAAAGTAAAGCTTTTATTTGAAGGTAAAAAAAAAAAACGCCTCAGTTAATTTAAGGAAGTTAATAATGGGTTTTAAAAAACCACATCATATAATGTGTAAAAGAATTTTCAAATATGATAAACAATCATTTGAGTAGTCTCTTTTGTGTCTCCACCATGTGTTAAGTGAATTATTGTCTAATGTCTACCTTGGTGCAGCAGATTGCAACAAGGTGTAACTCTTCTGTAAACAGAGGAAGTGAAGTGCAACGGATACACAACAAGAAGCAAATTAAGAAATACATCCTCACATTTAAAAAAAAAAAAAAAAAAAAAAAAAAAAAAAAAAAAAA